AAACATGGGAAAAAAATAATCTGCTAAAATGAATGATGTCATGACTGTGCCTCCAAGAGCCTCTCGTCTTCCTTCAAGTGGCATATTTTAGGAGTTGTGGTCCAAAAAAGTAACTTTCTAATTCTAAGTTAGACCCAAATCCAGTATAGAAGTAGTGGATCAGCTTTGCAAAACCTGACTGACTGGTGCAGAAGCTTTGCATTTGGTGTGAAGTGGGCCATCTTGGACTGTGTTCTTTTTTTTCTTCTGCTTTCTTAAGACCATGCACACAAAGCGAAATCCAAAGAACTACAACCCATCAAAGCTCCACCTTGAGTGGACCTGTGTAGAACTTGTGTATTTGTCAGTCATAGCTTACATTTATGGGTATCTACCTAAGAAGACCCTTATATTGTACAGTATCTGGAAAGATGTGAAAAGGAGAAAGTAGTATTTGAAATGGCTTTTGTAATGGGATGAATATTTCTGGCAGTGGCTTATAAAACTGAAGGTAATGGAAGTTACAATATTCTATTTTAGTCTTTCCAACTCTACTAGAACTGTTTGCCCCCGGAATGGTCTTTTTTGCCTTGCTGATTAATACCAACACAGCAGCCCTGTCCTATCTTGGAAGATTCTGGGACACATTAAACAGATCTTCTTGCAGACTTTGATGGCTTTCAATGGACTTCCTTAAAAGTACTGCTTTCATACCCTTTCCCCCCTGTCTTATATTAATTTTTGCTCCAAAAATGCATTAGGGCTTATTTTCAGGGGATGTCTTATTTTTTTCATGTACAACAATCTACATTTATTCAAATACAGTCATGTCATCTTCTTCTGGTTGCTGCACAATGGTGGAGGGTTTCACTTAACTAGGGCTTATATTACGAGCATCCTGAAAAATAATGCTAGGGCTTATTTTCAGGTTGGGTCTTATTTTAGGGGAAACAGGGTAATATCATTAGAAGAACTTAATTATTAAAACAGAAATACATGGAAACTACATTCCATGTTATAATTTTGGATCTGCTATTTCACACCAGTTCCAAATTACAGAGATGTAAAGGGAACAAAATCAGATTCAGTCCTTTTGGTGATTGTATTTATGGAGATATGGAGGGGATAAACTTTAATTCAGGCCTTCTAATAATTTACCTTTACTTTTAACCCAGTATACACCGTTCAGAACACTATCCCTTGGGTGAGGCATTTTGGAGAGTTAGGAAGGTTTCCACTTGCTGAATGTTAGTTCTGTCTCCTAAAGAAGCCTTCTAGTAGTGTAAGATGAAATGGGTAAGACTACAAGATTTTTTTAAAAAGTTGCTTGCTTCTCCAGTGTTTTGTTTAAAATAGTGCTCAGTCAGCTGATATCATCATTTCCATCATTCTTGTCATTTCAGGTTGCTGCTTAACTCTATGATGGTTTTCTTTCTCAGAATTTTACCTGTTCTATTCCCCCCTCCCCACCTTAGTCTATGTATTTCATCCTCTCCTCTCTTGTAGTGGGGAAGGGTCTTGAGACCTTGTTGTTTGTTGTAGATACAACTTTTTGTATTGTTGTGGAATTGCATGGGGATATGTTTGGTCGAAGAAGGCACTGTTGTCTTTACTGGAAAGGGGTGTCATTTTTTAAAAAATGCATTTGTTCATAAATGCATCATTTGGTTACTGTAACTTATCTTTTTTTCCTGTTTGAATTTATTACTTTGGCAGTTGTATTGCTACCTGAGGGTTTTTAAATTTCATTTTTATTTTGTGATTGTTTTTCTTCTTCTTCACATTTTAACAAAAATGTGTGGTCAGATGCACGGGTTTCCTAGCCATGCCGGACCTGCATGGCATTCTCAGCACTGCAGAGAAAATGGTACACTTCTCCAATGATTGCTCCATACTTATATTTTTAAATGATCTTTTGAAAATTCTGGATTAAAAAAAAAAATTCCATTCAGACCTGATTTTCATTGTATTTATGACCCTTGCCCTAACTTGCCTCTCCTGTTATGTGCCCTGTGTAATAGATTGTGCAGAAGGTACCTAGAAAGCATTACATGGTTTCCCTTTAATAATGTGGTTTGTCCAAACTTTTGACTGTCTACCTGACTGAGATTGGGTCAGTTGCCCTACTTTCCTTGATGATTTGGAATTGTAAGAGTTGTCCAGGTGTTGCTTATTAAAATTTTTGCAAACTAGACAATCTGAGTTGATTTTGGTGTTTTGCCTTTTATTGAGCATCTTGATTTTCTAAAGGCATGTGCTTAGGAGTCTCAATATTGAAAACACAATTTTTATTAGTTAGTTTTATCCCCATCTAAATTTCTGTGGTTCATTCTGATAACCACTCATCATACCTGCTGTCATTGCTACAGTGGGATATTCTTTGTAGTAATATTGTTTATAAGTTTACATAGTTTGGTTAACAGCCATTCCCTTAATAGAAGTATATAAATGGAATTTTTATTGCTTGTTTCATCTTTTTGAATAAATAAATTGCTGAAAAGTAAGATTATTATCCTTTTTCAGTGAACAAAGTCTTATAGACGCTTGCTTTTGAATTCTTGTTAGACAGTACGACTTAGCATGGATGGAGAGAGCATCTGCAGAGAGACTGATCAGTAAATCAAACAAATTCTATCTCTCACTGTCGCCTCCCCCCCAGCTGTGTAAGGCTAATAATGAAGGGCAGATGTTAAAGCATTAGATGTAAATATCAACAGCATTATCACTTTAAATCATGCAACCTAGTTCAATTAACAGTACATTGAAAAAGTAGCACTGGAGGCAGTTGACGGTTCCTTTAATTCAAACCGAATGATTACGGTGGGTATTGTTTATTTGAACTTTTTTTATCCTGCCCTACTGCTAAGGTCTCCTAGAATGATTTACAAAGACTAGTAATAATGCAGTCCCTACCCTCAGGTTTAAAGTTTGGAAGTCAATCAATCCTCAGTTCAAGATGAAAACCTTCTGTTGAACTGTGGCTTTATCTATGACCATGATGCGATAGCTATCAAGTCTATAATCCTAGTATGAGACAATAATGTTAGTCATGGGTTGAGTAACTTTTAGATACAGACTAGCTCCAATTTCAAAGATCTGAAATGAAATATTGCCTCCTAATCCTAGGAAGATGTGGTGTGGGCTTCCTAGGACTGGGCCACAGAGACACATATCTGCCCCCCCCACATGAACACATGGGGGTGTTGCACTCGCAGGGGGTTGTCGTGCTCTTGGGGTGCCCCCCCACAGAGCCCACCCCCTAACTGCTCCAAAAAGTTCCAAAAAGGTTGGGGACCACTGGTGTAGTGTATACAGTAATGACTCAGAAAACCTGAGTTTGTTTCCCCAGCTCTGCCATGGAAACTCACTGAAGGTATGGACATAAAATTGCAGAACAACTCATTTAATACCTCACTTACCTTAAAAACTCTATTAGGGTCACTATAAGTCAGTTCCGACTTGATGGCACATAACAACAAGAACAATCCTAGGAAAATTATGACACATGACATCAGATTGAATGGAACCCCCTATAAATACTCAACTGTCCAAAGAAACTGCACCAGAGCACAGACAGAGTTCTGACTCCTGCCTTCTGAGGATTCCAGCCACAGAGACTGGTGAAACATTAGGAAGAAAAACCTTAAGAACATGGTCAAACAACCCGGAAAACCCACAACAACCATCGTAGTAAATGTTGTTTGGAGAATGTGCTTTAAAAGCCACTAGGACTTCTTGTGTATAATAACATTTAAAAACTGTGTTCTGGTAACACCATGACAAAGAAAAATGTAACAGATATTCCTCCATTTAACACTTTTTTAAAAACCCTCAGACTATAAACCATATGCAGAGTCTGGTATATCTTAGAATTTCTTCCTTAACTATTCTGGTTGCAGTTTTACACAGATACTGGCACAATGTGTGCCAACTTCTTGCCACTGAAGTAAGAAGTGTATTTAAAAACTGAATTTCAGTATTTACTGCTGGCTTGATGAAACTGATAATTTTGATTTCATTTTTATTAGAAAGTAGGCCTTACCAAAATTATGTCAGTTTTCAAATGTCCGAGGGGAATATTTTGAAGTAGTTCCCAGGTGTTCTCTGTGTTCTCTCTTATTATGTATTTCAAAGAAATAGACAAGTAGCCAGAATCCTTTCCATCTTGGTCTCAGTTAACCATCTAGTGGCAGCCTTTCAAACTAACTACTAATACCTACCATGTTTCCCTGAAAATAAGACGGGGTCTTATATTAATATTCGCTCCAAAAAACACATTAGGGCTTATTTTCAAGGGATGTCTTATTTTTTTCATGTACAACAATCTACATTTATTCAAATACAGTCATGTCATCTTCTGGTTGCTGCACAATGGCGGAGGGCGGAGTTTCATTTAACTAGGGATTATTTTTGGGGATAGGCTTATATTACAAGCATCCTGCAAAATCATACTAGGGTTTATTTTCAGGTTAGGGCTTACTTTCAGGGAAACAGGGCAATGTTGAAACAGCAGCAGATCTTCCCTGAGCATTTCCTTCTGGAATGCAGGCTAGGACAGAACAACAAGAAATACTTTTGATCATAGCATAGGCATCCTTCAGTCTCGAGAGACTATGGTAACATGCTCTTTTGATCAATTGCCCCAGATATCAAAAGGCAACGAAGTTCCTTCTGCAGGGAGGCCACCACCTGCAAGAGACCAGAGCGCCCCACGAATTGCCTCCGCTCCCTTCCAAACCACATCTGCAGACGTGCCTTCAAAACAGTCCGGAATCAGGTTCCGTAACGTAGCCTTCCCGAGAGCCGTGGCTGCTGTCCACGGTGCTGAACCTTTTCCTAGCCTACCCGATCCAGGGAACGCGAGCCTTGGCAGCGGGGGTGGGGGGGGGTGGAGGCAGAGGACATTCGTCTCGGCACGTCATCGCCTCTCCGAGGAACTCTGGCTTGTCGTTTTCCTCGCTCGCGTACGCAAAAGCTCTCCCCCACCCCCCGTCCAAAATGCTACAGGCTTCAGAGGCGAAAGTAGAGCTTGACGGTGGGTAATACTGGGCGAGCAGGAGCAGGAGCCGCCGCCACTCCCTCGAGCGCCCAGTCGCGGCGCTCTCTTGGCATAGCCGAGAGGTTGAGCGAGAGGACGGAGGCGGCGTCCCGGGAGGTGGGCCATTGCCATCTCCCGTCTCCCAGTCATTCCTGTTTCTCGCAGCAGCCAAGACCCGTCCGAGGAACCTCCGTGGTCCACAGCGGGATCCCCCTGATGGCTGAGCGAGGAGCGTAAAGCGCCCGGGCGGCTGTTCCGCCGGCGGCGGCGGCGGTGAGGAGCGAAGGCGGTGCCATGTCAGGGTGCGGAATGGAGGCGGATTACCCCGCCTTTGAGAACCCGCTCTGCGGCGAGCTCAAGCACATTTGCAAACGCCTCCGAGAGACCTACAAGGAGATCAAGGAGGATCTGACCCCCTACAAAGATGATCGCTACTACAGGTAAGCGAAAAGGCCAAGGGGGAGCGGGCGCTGGAGCGGGCCGCGACCCTCAAGATCCCAGGCCTACAGCATGGGAAGAGGGAGGGGAAGAGGAAGGAAAGGAAAGGAGGGGAGCTGCGGGGTCGTCTCTTTCTATTCCCGGGAAACAACTGTTCGCATCCTGGGTACCGCGGGGACTGTCAAAAGGGGCTCTTTAAAAGGCGTGGGGAGATGCAGAGGTAGCCAGCCATTTCGAAGTAATCCCGTAGGGATCGATGGGACGCCCTGGGAGTAAGCGAACCGGTTAGAAGGGTTGCTTGCTGGGCAGAGTGAAGCGTTCTATTTGATCACAGTCTGTCCTTGCGGGATGACGGAGTCAGCAACAGTAGCTCTTTCCCTTCATGTAAATACTTTTGGCTGATAAATTCCTAGGGAAAGGCTTTCCCTTTCAATATGGCTGTTGGAAAAAGGTTGGCCTCTCTCTGAGGGCCTGTCCCTTACAATTCTTGGCCTATGAGTTTTTGGCAAAAGATTACATGCAGGGTTATTTAGAAAGAAGAAGAGAAAGAAAGCTAATACATGATTTTAAAAGATTTATGGGTCTGTATTTGATCCCCCTGTTGCCAAGAATAAAAAGCCATTTTATGTAGAAAAAAAATGGGAGGGAGGTGTTCTCCCTCCTTAAAGAAATCATCCTTTTTTAATGACATGGAGCATAGCCCATACATCACCTGGACTCCCTTCTCTTCCATGATTTCCCAGATTCCATCAGCAAGTGTGATAGAGCAGGTAGTGTCAGAACAGACTCAGGAGATCTGGGTTCAAATCTCTGCTTTAGCATGACTCACTGAAGGTCACAACAGTGCTCATTGGAGGTGACTCCTTGAATATCTCACTTACCCTGAAAACTACATCACGGTCTCCGTAACTCAAAAGTGGCTAGATAGCACATAACAACTGAGGACAATGTCAGTTCCTTGCATGCTTTTCCCTAAAACCTGCCCATATTCAGTCTTTTCTAATAATGGATTTCCTGTTTATAGAGAAAAAAGATCTAGGAAGTTTTTTTCTCAGGTTTGCAAAATCAGAAGCAAGATTACCTGGAAGTAGAACTAATTGTTTCATATACATGTTGCACATAGTGATCATCACACTAAAATCTCAGCAACATTTTATTTCCCTTTGCAGGGCAGACACATAGGTTCTGCTAACATTCTTCAAACAGTAAGGAATTATAATTCCCCCCACCTGAAATATTGAATTAAATCCAACTCTACTAAATCCAAAAACAGCTGCTTCTTTCAGTGGGAGTTGCACTCCTTGCTTTCACCCTTAAGAGTAGAAAGCTAGACTTAAGGGCACATAATCCTCTGCATGTTCATTGTGGAATCTCACTATGGCATAATTCCTTCCTAAAATATCTTAGGATCACAGCTTTTATCACATTTTTCTGTGAGAAAGTAATCTGAGAAAATAACAATTGCACAGTCTAACATCTTGCAATGCTATATATGTCCATCCAAAAACCTCACTGAGTTCCAGGTCCTTAGTCCCAGGTAGTTGTGTACAGGACTAGAACTTAAAGGTGCAACCCTATCCCATGTTGTAAAGAGTTTTCATTACAGGTCTCTGTTTGCAAGAGAGGGAGGGCTCTAATGACTCAGTAGTAAAGCTGTCTTTCCATTTCAGACAAGAGACAGGAAGGATATTCTTGTTGTAGAAAATACGTTTGCTGCTCTATGACTGGGAGATTCAGTAACCCAAAATTCAAGCCCGAAAGCATTCCCTCCCAATATACTATCCAAGGAGATAATTGGTATATCTATAGAACAAATAGGCACATGAGAGGCTGAATTTTATCTAGAAAGAAGCTTTGTTTTTGTTGTTTGGTCGTTAAGTCATGTCCGACTCTTTGTGACCCCATGGACCAGAGCACGCCAGGCCTTCCTGTCATCCACTGCCTTCCGGAGTTCGGTCATATTCACATTGATAGTTTCGATGACACTGTCCAACCATCTCATCCTCTGTTGTCCCCTTCTCCTCTTGCCCTCAAACCTTCCCAACATCAGGGTCTTTTCCAGGGAGTCTTCTCATGAGACGGCCAAAGTATTGGAGCCTCAGCTTCAGGATCTGTCATTCCAGTGAGCACTCAGGGTACAGTTCCTTCAAACTGGATAGGTGTATTCTCTTTGCAGTATAGGGGACTCTCAAGAGTCTCCTCCAGCACCACAATTGAAAAGCATCAATTCTTCGGAGGTTAGCCTTCTTTATGGTCCAGCTCTCACTTCCATAGATCGCTACTGGAAAAACCATAGCTTTGACTATGTGGACCTTTGTTGGCAAGGTGAGGTCTCTGCTTTTTAAAATACAGTAGTGTCTAGGTTTTTCATCGCTTTCCTCCCAAAAAGCAGGAGTCTTTTAATTTTGTGGCAGCTATCTTCATCTGCAGTGATCATGGAGCCCAAGATGGTAAAATCTGTCACTGCCTCCATATCTTCCCCTTCTATTTGCCAGGAGACAGGAGGTGATGGGACCAGTGGCCATGATCCTAGTTTGTTGATGTTGAGCTTCAGACTCTGGCGTTCTCCTCTTTCACCCTCATTAGAAAGTTCTTTAATTCCTCCTCACATTCTGCCATCGGAGTGGTATTATCTGTATATCTGAGGTTGTTGGTATTTCTTCTGGCAGTCCTAACTGTGGCTTGGGATTCATCCAGTCCTGCCTTTCGCATGATGTATTCTGCATATAAGTTAAATAAGCTGGGGGACAATATACAGCCTTGTTGTACTCCTTTCCCAATTTTGAACCAATCAGTT